TGGACCGGGAGGAGCTGTGCGGCCAGTCCGCCACCTGCATGCTCCCCTTCGAGCTGCTGCTCTCCAACCCCCTGCAGTTCTTTCGGGTCGAGGTGGCTCTGGAGGATATCAATGACCATTCACCCGTCTTCCCCGAGGAACGAGTGACTTTTGACATCACGGAAAAGAGCGACCTGGGTTCACGTTTCCCTCTGGAGGCAGCTCAGGACCTCGATATTGGCAGCAACACAGTCCAGGCATACAGCATTTCTCCTGAGAACGAATACTTTAGTGTCGCTTATAGAAGTCGGAGTGAGGATGACAAATATATTGAACTTGTTTTGGAGAAGCCACTAGACAGAGAGGAGCAGTCAGAGATGAGTTTCAGTGTCATTGCTGTGGATGGTGGCTCTCCTCCCAGGACTGGGACAACTGAAGTGAAAATTGTCATTCTAGATGTAAATGACAATCCTCCCATATTCACACAAGAGCGTTATTTTGGAAAAGTCCTGGAGAACATGCCAGAAGGGTCTGTAGTTTTAACGGTGCTGGCAAGAGATCAGGATGCAGGAGTTTATGGGGAAATTTCTTACCAACTCAGCCACGCACTGGGGCAGAGTGACTCAGCATTTGTGATTGATCCCATAACTGGTGAAATTAAAACCACAAAACCTCTGGACTTTGAGGCAGCACAAAGTCACGAACTGAGAGTAAGTGCCACAGATGGTGGTGGGCTCTCAGCCATCTGCAAAGTGCTGGTGGAGGTGGTGGATGTGAATGACAATGCCCCAGAGGTGGTGGTCAGCTCCTTCAGCAGTCCCCTCCCCGAGAACACAGCGCCCGGCACGGTGGTTGCCCTGTTTACGGTCAGGGACCGGGATTCTGGGGCCAACGGGAAGATCTCGTGTGGCCTCGAGGATCAGCTCTTCTTCTCGCTGCGGCCAGCCTATAAGAATTACTATGAGCTGGTGACAGTGAGCGCGCTGGACCGCGAGGAGACGGCTCGCTACATCCTCAGGGTGACGGCGGCAGACGCGGGGTCGCCTCCTCTGACGAGCACGCAGACCTTCACCGTGGACATCTCGGATGTCAATGACAACGCCCCCGTCTTCAACCAGACGTCGTACACCATGTACGTGCGTGAGAACAATGTGCCCACGGTGTTTGTTGGAGCCGTCAGCGCTGCCGACGCTGACGTGGGGCTCAATGGCAAGGTGAGCTATTCGCTGGCAGCGGTGCAGGCGGCAGAGGGGCCTTGGTGCTCGTGCGTGTCTGTGAACTCTGAGAACGGGCACGTGTTTGTGCTGCGGCCCCTGGACTACGAGCGCTTGAGGCAGACGGAGGTGACGGTCAGTGCCTCTGACGCGGGCTCTCCTCCCCTCAGAGCCAACGTCAGCGTCCGCCTCGTGGTGCTGGACGAGAACGACAACGCCCCGCTCGTGCTGTACCCAGGCCAGGACAGCAGCCCAGCGTCCAGTGAGCTGGTGCCCGTGTCGGCCGAGGCGGGCTACCTCATCACCAAAGTGGTGGCCGTGGATGCCGACTCCGGGCAGAACTCGTGGCTCTCGTACCACCTGCTGAGGGCCAGCGAGCCAGGGCTGTTCACGGTGGGTGTCCACAGCGGGGAGGTGCGTCTGAGGAGGCCGGTGACGGAGAGAGACAGCGTGAGGCAGAAGCTCCTTGTCCTGGTCAGAGACAACGGCAAGCCGCCCCTGTCGGCCACGGCAGCTGTGAGCGCGCTCCTGCTCAAGGACTTGTCAGACGTGCGCCTCCCCGGGCACAGCAGCCCGGCGCCAGAGGATCAGGCTGGCTCCCTCACCACCTATTTAATCATTGCCCTGGTGTGTGTCTCCCTGCTCTTCCTGGTCTCCACCGCACTCTTTGTGGCTCGCAAGGTGTGCAAGAGAAAGGAGCTGAAGGCTGGCCATGTGCTTTATGGTGCCGACAACTTGCAGAGCGGCCTGGCCGATGGGGCCGCTGCAGGGAGCCTGCCCCGCGCCTATTGCTACGAGATCAGCCTCACAACGGGCTCGGGCAACAGCGAGTTCAAATTCCTCAAGCCCATCCTGCCCAGCGTGCCACCACAGCACTGCGCCGTGGGCCAGGGCCCGGAGGATGAACAGCATTTCCCCTGTGTCCCTGTCAGCACCGAGGACACGGCACCAGACAATCCTGGCACTCTCTCTGCAGGACACTTCAATTCTCTTTCCTTCAACTAGCTGGGCTCTGCACTGCCAGAGGCTTCAATGATCATGGGAAGAATTGACCCAGGCAGTAGCATTTGGCAGTGGTTCCTGCAGTGTAAATCTGGGTTTGCAATTGGATTGACCAACTTCCTGCAAATTCTTTTTGGAATAAATGTCTGCCACTCCAAAAGCAGAGATGGAACTTTTTTCTTATTTAGATAGTCATGGGTTTCATGTCAGCTTCTGCCTTTTCTAACAGCCTGTATGTATGTAGTTAGCACTCACATTTGTGTTCTGTTTTTGTTGCTGTCTCACAAGAGAGAGAATCTTGTTATTCTGATCTTTAAGACAGTGTCACTGTTGGCCAAACAAATCTTGTCCACACTGAGTTGCCGAAGGTCTTTTTCCCAGCTCTGGAAACCAAGGAAGTTGTGAGTACTGAGTTGTCACAATATCATGTGAGCACTAGGCCCTTTCTCCCCTGGGTTCTGGTTGTCTCTTCCAGAGATGTGAGCTCTGTGTGCTTTGCTTTCTTGTCGCTGTGTCTGTGCAGACACTGAATATCTGCAGATGCTTCAGTCGTTCCGCCTGGTGAAGCCGGGTATTGCTCCCACCCAGCCTTTGCAACACAGGCAATGCCAGCCCAGCAGGGAAGGAGGTGATTTTGACCCTTTTGGAACAGCTGTCTCATCTTCCTTTTCTAGCTCAGAGTAGAGCAGCAAAATGCACCAGGAAATCTTCCTTTGGTGTAAAAGAAGGGCTTGGGTGTTCTGTCAGCTCAGGATTGCCTGAGAAATACAGCAGCACAAATAGTGTTAGAGTAGACTGTAACCGAACAGAGTTGTTATAACATCTTCATTATCCTTGGATGCATTGAAGGAAAACTCCACAAATACTAAAAGACAATTATAGGAAGGTAGAGTCAAGAAGAACTTTTAAAAAGGGCATTGTGTTGGTCTTTTAAATTATTTTCTTGCGTCCTAAGACTTACTGATGGTAGTGGAGATTTTTCAGTGCATGATTTTCTGTTTGTTCCAGTGCACTTCCATTCCCATTTTTGCCCTTTCTCCTTCTACTCTCTGAAATGTACTGAGCATTTTACTGATCCTGTTCCTGTAGAGAAGAACTGCCGACCCGTCTGTAATAACTGGTTATTTGAATGACGTCTGTGATGCATGAAATAGTCAGAGAGGCTCCCTCACACTATGTTTTCCTGAAGCTATAAGGTTAAAATTGTAAATTTGATTAGCCTCGGGATTACAAGCTGAAAAAAAAAAATGTATTAGACTGAAATAAAGAGAACACACATTTGTGAAGACAGAATACCTTGTAGAGACGTTGTTTCTGGGATAGCCCTGTGAGGACATTTCAAAATTGTGCGAGGTACTTTCTAGCTGTGTCCCCAGTCTGAAGCAGTGTCGGGTGGGTTCAGTTGCTGAGCGTGGAGATGCAGCTGGGGAGTTTCCATTTGCTGCCCGTGCTGTCAGCATCGCCCGCTGCGTGCTCGGTTTGTCCTGCTGAGCGATGAGGCTGCGTGGTTCTGGTGTGGGTGTGGGCTTGGCGCT